CCAGTAATTTCACAGTTTCTGGGAAATTGTGATTATGAAAATACAAGGTAACCAGCAGGGATTAGGCATCATATTCATTCATTTAGCAAACATTAAATATTGATTGCTTATTTGCACAGCATTATGTGTGGCACTGTTTCCTTTAAATAAATAAGGGAAAATAAAAAGACATTATCAGAATTATAACCAGCAACGGTATGAATAATACAATAATGTTCCTTTATGTCTTCATTTTAAAAGAATTGGTTTCTTAACAAAAAAAAGAGAGGGCAGGGAAATTCAATTCATGATGTGGGATATGCAAAGATGAAATAGGATATGTCCTTGGTAGGCCTCAAAGTACTGAAAAATTCAGTACACCAAAGTATCAGGGACAAATTACAGTGCAATGAGAAATGGGAAAAAAAATAGTCAAAATTACAATCAGGTTATTTAAAAATAAGACATAATGCTATTTTTGACAAAATAGTTTAATCATAGTTTAAGAACAAAATTTCTTCCTACTATTCAGTTGTAATTATTTGTGTTCGATCTATGCAAAGTAGGAATCTAATGACGAACAAATGGTTCTCTACAGTGTGAGTGAGACTATTTTACAACCTTTTATTTATTTTAAAAAAGCAAAAGTTAAAACAATACAACGCCTTAAGGCATAGCCTTTTTTTAGTCTAGGTTTCAACTCACATTATTTCTTAACAACCCCATTTCTGCTCAAATATTTTATTTTTTTAATACATGCCATGCATTCAGCAATACACAGAATGTAAATAGATTATACAAATAAAGTAATATATCTTCTATGGATACTCAAGCAAAGCATTAAATTCAAATTTAGAAGTGAGGGAAAGTATTAAGGAAATCTAATACTTTTATGGCCATAGTTTTATTTTTCTTTCAACATCATAGAGATATGCCTCATTGTTTCAGAAAGTTAATCACATCCCTTAAATAGTACATGTATGTCCTACATCTTGCAGATGTATATAGTACTATATTATTACTACAGCACAACACAGCATATGACAATGCATTACTCATTCAAATACGAGTGCTAATATGGAGATTATACAAATTACTAGATGATCCTTAGAGCATGACTGGATCCTTCTTATCCTTTAGTCTCAGCTTGGATATCCCCTCCTCAGAGAAGGCGTCCCTGATGACCCCATCTAAATTAACTCTGCCTCGATCACACTATCACATTACCCTGCTGTTTCCCAATTTTCATAGCACTTACCACTATCTGAAATTATCGTGTTTATTTCCTTGATTTTTGTCTGTCTTCCTCCACCAAAATGTAAGCGCCATAAGTACAGGTACCTTTTCAGTCTTGTTCACTGAATCCCCATTATACAGAACAGTATCAGCACACAGCAGGCACTTGATAAAAGTATTGAATAAATGAATAAGAATAATAATAAGCTCAAACAATAATGTAAACCAGAAGACAAAAAGAAGGCAGACTATACACCAAAGCTAGCAAGAAAGAATGGAATTTAGAGAATGGAAATTTCACCATGGCTCTATTCCCAGAGAAACTCGTACCTCTTAAATTGCAAAGGCAACCATTTAAGAAGTGAGCAGTCCATATCCCATGATTAAGCAAGAGGACACTATGCCTTTCACACTACAATTACCACTGTCAGCAAGGTTTTATTTTAAGGGAGCCTTGACTACGAGGCTACCCCAACCACAAATCTATTACCCTATACCTTGCCATCAGGCATCACTGGTCCACTTCCAGTAATAATTTGTCAGCTACAGCAGGTTCAGACACGCCCTGTCTTCTCCATTTATACCATAGAGAACCACTGACCCTTGTCCAAATGAGCCTCTTTGCAAACCCCATAGACTCATGGTCCTATCTGCTCCTTACCCGTGCTCTGCCAGACATGTCACTGAAAGGAGTGGTAAAAGTAACACAGAACAGATCCTGTTTTTTTTTTTTTTTCCCAGAACCTAGCGTTTCTTTGCCCATCAGTTCCCCCAAAGACGCAAACTTCTTTGCGTAGAAGCGGTAAAGGGGAAGATTTCTTATTCAGATGCATACTAGCTGCAAGTTCTTGGCAAGCCAGTTACCATCTCCACACCTGTTTCCTCCTCTGTAAAAGAGGGATGATCAGGGTATCCGTCTCAAAGGAATCTTGTAAGAATTCAATGAGCTAATGCATGTAGGGCAATTAGCATAGTGCAGAACACGCAGAAAGCGACAAATAATGGGGACTGCTTTTCTTATTAAGAGGATAATGATGATGACGATTTTTAGCAGTAGAGTATGAATTCCTGGAGGGCAGCGACAGTGCTTGGTTCCCCGTAGGATTCAAATGAAATTGAAAAATATAGAAAAGGGGACAACGGCTTCCTCATTTCCCTGTCTCTAGACCTCTCCCCGTCAAATCAATCTCGAGATGGCTGCCATTTGCCTAAACTGGGGGTAGGGAGCTTGGATCGTAACCAGAATAGAATCAAAGGGTGAGAATCATCTAGCAGCTCCAGGGGCAATCAGTTACTTTATTATCCTCAAGCTTATGCCCAGAGTGGCAAAGGCGAAGTAAGCAGCGTTCCTAGGGCCTTGGTTGTGGTAACCGGGGCTCATAAACGGCCAATGCACACCCCGGGGAAGCCTCTCTCTCCAGCACCGTGGGAGGGAGAAGAAAAACGGCCCCCAAAATTTGATCACCACGATGGTGTTCTCCGGCTCTGGCCCAGGAAAAAGCCCCTGCCCTCTCCCCAGCGCCCCATGCCCACCTCCTCCAGCTCCTCCGATTTAAGGCTCCAAACCGAGGGCCCTCCAGGCGGGGCCGGCATCGGAGCATCACCTCAGCGCCCGGTGCTGGCTGCCCCCGGGGTCCCGCCTCCCTACAGCCGGCGCCTTTCCAGGCGGGGCTCGAGGCCCGGGAGCCCAACAGAGCCCGCCCTCAACTCCTCAGGGCGCCAATTTCGCCTCGCCAGACCACTTCTCAGCCCGGACCCGCCGAGGCTCGAGCCCCCTCCTCATGCACACACCTGATCCCCCACGGCGCCTTCAGGTCCTCTCCCCTCGCCACGGGCCTTGTCAGGAAGCGAATGGCTCAAATGGTACTGACAGAGTGCAGCTCGGTCCGCCGCCGCCTTCTCCTCCTCCTCCCCGCCATATTACAGATCTCAAGCGGCAACGCGGGCTCCTGGCAACCGCCGCCGCGGCCACCCCGACTCCACCTCTCAGGGCCGGCACTTCCGGTGGTTGCTTCCCGGGCTGTTAAAACCGTTGGGCCACCAGAACACTACAATCCCCGAGGTGCATTGCGCGCCCGCGATGGAGGACGTAATGCTTACGGACAGCACGCTGCACGCCGGGAAACGTAGTCTTCAATGCAAGCTATAGACTAGACTGTATTAATAAATGTACTTATTTAGTATAATAGGACCACCCCTCAGGGTCTGAAGCCCCCTGAAGTGTTCCTTGAGGTTGCCATTTTTTTCTTATGTGTATAAAGATAACCCCTTTCTATGTAGCCGTTATAAAACATGTAACATTCACCAAAATATTTTCTTGTAGATAAAAACGCTGAACCCACCGGGGGTGATGGCTTACGCCTATAATTCCAACATTTTGGAAGCCGAGGCGGGAGGATCGTTTGAGCCCAGGAGTTCGAGATCAGCCTGGGCAACAAAGGGAGACGGCGGCTTCTCTACAAAAATTTTAAAAATTAGGCGGGTGGGGTGGCGCTAGCCTGTGGTCCCAGCTACTTGGGAGGCTGAGGTCGGAAGATGGCTTGAGCCCAGGAGGTCGAAGCTTCAGTGAGCCGGGATTGTACCACTGCATTCCAACCTGGGCGATAGAGTGAGACTGTCTGGAAAAATAAAAAATAAAAAAGGCTGAATCCTAGTTGCCAACTGGAAGGCTTAAGACATTTATCCCCTTTTGCAAATCAGTAGGAAAATGCACTAAAGGAAAAAAGGTAACGGAAAAATCCCTGAATCTTTTTGGAAAGTTCTCTACATAAAAATGTTACCAGCCTTCCAAAATATGTCCAGGGGTCCCTTTTCATTGCCTAACTCGGCTTTACAGTCTGTCTCTCTTACCCTCCTTCCAGTGCCTGTTTTTGCATATGTTAAATGGTGGTTTAAAAGTGCCTATCACAAGCGTAGTTGTGAGGCACAGTTGAGGTAACTCTTGCACAGCGCCTGGTACAAAAGCCCTTAGCAGAAGTAAGATTAGGGAGAGGAGGAGTGAAAATGTCACAAGTCACTAGGGAGGCCTTTATGTCAGTCCCCATCCTGCCATTAACTGCTTAATTCACCTATCCTCAGTTTCCTCATCTATGAAATAAGGGAATCCTTAAAACCCCTTCCAGTTTTATAATCCGATTGTGCCTTCTTTGGTAGGCTCTTCCAGTCCCCCAGAATCAGGAAAATTAAGTCGATTGAAATCAGTCTCCTGAGATAATAACTGTTAGGCTGTATTGAGAATGAGATAAGCATATAAAGTGTTTGCTCACCAAGTATCTAGGACATGGTAAGTGCTCTGTAAACGTTAGATGTACTTGCTAACACTTTTATTTCCACCCACGAGAATGTGAGTCCCGTAAGAGCAAAAACCCTGTAGGTCCTGTTCAACTGTGTCCGGAGCACCTGGACCGGTATTTGGTACATCTTGAACTGAACTGAACTGAACTGAACGGAATTGAATTGAATTGAACTGATAGTCTAAGCATCCTGCCTCTCCAAGTTCCCTGGACTTCAGTTTCCTCAAGGGCAGATAAAGGAGTCACTAAAATCCCTCCCAGTCCTACAGCTTTAGGACGGTTCTTAGCCCTCCTTTTCTCGCCTAGGAGTCTGAAAGCCCAGGTTGAAATTCAGACCCCAGAAAACCCTAAGCCACTTTGGGTTTGGAATGTGAGCCTAGGGTCTAGGGTCTGGGGTCTGGGGTCTGGGGCCTGGGGCTGGGGCCTGGGCCCGCCCCCGTTGCCAGGGAGCGGCTCCGCCTACTAGCGCTGCGAATCCCGATCCCTGATTGGCTGGGCAGCCGACTGCCTCTCTGGATGTGTCCGCTGCCGCCATTGTGCGGCGCTGGTCCCCTCAGAGGGTGCCCGCTGCTGCCGGTGCCTTGGACCCTCCCCCTCGCTTCTCGCTCTCCTGCCCCGGGAGCCCGGCGGGTCCGGGACTCCAGTCCGTGCCGGTGCGGGCGCCGGCATGTGGCTGTGGGAGGACCAGGGCGGCCTCTTGGGCCCTTTCTCCTTCCTGCTGCTGGTGCTGCTGCTGGTGACGCGAAGCCCGGTCAATGCCTGCCTCCTCACCGGCAGCCTCTTCGTTCTGCTGCGCGTCTTCAGCTTTGAGCCGGTGCCCTCTTGCAGGGTCCTGCAGGTGCTCAAGCCCCGGGACCGCATTTCTGCCATCGCCCACCGCGGCGGCAGCCACGACGCGCCCGAGAACACGCTGGCAGCCATTCGGCAGGTGAGACCCCCACGCCTCGCGCCCCTCGGTCCTCCCGAGAGCTCGGACTTCTACTTTTCCTTCCCAGGGTTCCCCGATCTACTCAAGACGACCTTCCCACTTCCTCATTCGTGCACAAGGCACACTCCCGGCCCTTGATCCCTCCCACTGTCTAGGGATCTCCCGACTTCAGGTTTTATATTTACAGACGACAGCAGATATGTATATAGTTTCTGTGGGACTGACGTTGAGATTACATCCAGGAACAAGGTCAAAAGTGTCCCTGGTTTACAGAGTGTACATCGGAGTGGGGGAGGCAAGCCTTAAATAAGTAAACACGTAAATGAGATAACTTTAAGAGAGTGAAAGGTGCAATGAAGAAATCGGGGGAACTCGAGGGGAGGAGTTACGCTATTTTATTTAGATGGAGTAGTCCAGAGAAATCGTCTCCGAAGAAGCAACATTTGAACAGAAACCGGAGTTATAAGGAGCCAGGCAGACGCAGAAGGTCCTGAGATGGGAATAATATAGAGGTGTTCAGGTAACAGAAGAGGCAGTGTGTGGCCGGACTTCAAGGAACAGAACAAAGACTGGTGTGTGAATGAAGTAGGAAATGGGTCAGGTCAAATAGGGTCTTGGTCAGTAATTGAGGTTAGTCTAAATAGCTCACCCTTCACAGGACATACCTTTGCTTGTCGTCTAAGTCACGTGAGTCATTTCCTTATCACCTTTTCCCCAGACACACACATTGGCACTCGCACAAGCCTGGCAGCTGGACTCATAACAATTTTTGCCCTCTCTTTTTCATAAGGCACTCCTGAAACTTTTGGTACCTCCCAGCTCTTGGCATTCTCCTGGCTTCCTACTAATGACAGCTTATAGAGAGGGCTCTTCAGTGGATTAGGTGCTTTTGCATCTGTGTAAATATATCTGATTCTCTTCTTTATTTTCTTTTTTTTTTTTCTCTCTCTCTCTCTCCTTCCTTTTTTTTTTTTTTTTTTTTTTTTTTTTTTTGACAGAGTTTCACTCTTTTACCCAGGCTGAAGTGCAGTGGTGCAATCTCCGTGCACTGCAACCTCTGCCTTCCGTATTCAAGCGAGTCTCGTGCCTCAGCCTCCCGAGTAGCTGGGATTACAGGCGCACGCCACCACGCCCAGCTAATTTTTGTATTTTTAGTAGAGACGGGGTTCTGCTATGTTGGCCAGACTGGTCTCAAACTCCTGGCCTCAAAGTGATCCTCCCGCCTTGACCTCCTAAGGTGCTACGATTACAGACATGAGCCATCACACCTGGCCTCCCTCATTTCCTTTTTTTCTTTTTCTTTTTTTTTTAAACGGAGTCTCACTGTCGCCCAGGCTGGAGTGCATTGGCATGACCTCGACTCACTGCAACCTCTATATCCCAGGTTCAAGTGATTCTCCTGCCTCAGCCTCCCAAGTAGCTGGGATTACAGGTGCCCGCCACCACACCCAGCTAATTTTTGTTATTTTTAGTAGAGGGAAGGTTTCACTATGTTGGCCAGGCTGGTCTCAAATTCCTGACTTCCAGTGATCCGCCCATCTTGGTCTCCCAAAATGCTGGGATTACAGGCATGAGCCACCGTGCCCGGCTCCAGATTTATACTTTTTAAAAATTTATTTATTTATTTATTTATTTAAATTTATGGGGTTTTTTTTTTTGGTTTTGGTTTTTTCGTTTGTTTTTTGAGATGGAGTTTCACTCTTGTTGCCCAGGGTGGAGTTCAATGGCGTGATCTGTGCTCACTGCAACCTCTGCCTCCGGGGTTCAAGCGGTTCTCCTGCCTCAGCCTCCCAAGTAACTGGAATTACAGACATGTGCCACCATGCCCAGCTAATTTTGTATTTTTTTAGTAGAGACAGGGTTTTGCCATGTTGTTCAGGCTAGTCTTGAAGCCTCAGCCTCCCAAAGTGCTGGGATTACAGACGTAAGCCACCGTGCCCGGCCAAGATTTATACTTTTAAAGCTGCACTCTGGCCCGTGTGGAGAATGTACTGTGGGTGTAATTTCATTCCTTTGCCATTGTTTATAATAGTGTGTCTGTTTTTGGAATACACTCAATTCACATTTATCAAGTTTTTCCTTGTATATGTCATTTATAATCTACCAGAAATTCTAGCACTGTCAGAAATGTATGTATATATACATTCGACTTTACCAATACTTTTATTTATTTGTTTATTTATTTATTTTTGAGACAAGGTCTCTCTCTCTCACCCAGGTTTGAGTGCAGTGGGGCAATCTCAGCTCACTGCAACTTCCACCTCCCAGGCTGAAGCGATTCTTGTGCCTCAGGCTCCTGAGTAGCTAAGATTACAGGTGTGCTCCTCCACGCCTGGCTAATTTTTGTTTCTTTTTTTAGTAGAGATGGCGTTTTGCCATGTTGGCAAGGCTGGTCTCAAACTCCTGACCTCAAGTGATCCACTTGCTTCAGCCTCCCAAAGTGCTGGGATTACAGGCATGAGCCACTGCCTGACCGACTTTACCAGTACTTCTATGTCATTCCAGTAATTGAGATAGAAAGATGAACCCCTGGTTCTAGTTCACATATTAGTATATATAGGAGATATTGCAAGTTCAGTTCCAGACCTGAGTAAATAGTCAATAAAGCAAATATTGTAATAAAGGGAGTCACAAATTTTTTGGTTTCTCAGTGCATATAAAAGTTATGTTTATACTATATTGTAATCTATTAAGTATGCGTGTATGTATAGATATGCACATATACACACATATATAGGTTTTCATCCATGGTTCCTTTCTCATAACTCTCAGCCCTTGCTACAGTCTTTTGTTAGGCATCCTAGGCCTTAGGAGCAGGCCTCAGGAAACAGAATCTCTCTGACCTTCTCCTGCCCTCCTTTCACCTGCCCCCAGGCAGGACTGGAATCTTTCCCTGTCTTTCAAATTGTGAGTCTTAAGACCCCCATCAGAGAGGGACCCCACCCTACCTATACCCTGGGGGAAGGAATGCTGACATCATGAAGCTTCCATAAAAACCTAAGAGGAATTAAAAAAATAAAAACTAAAATAAACCTAAGAGGACTTGAACCCAATTGGTCAGAAGTTCCAGAGGCCCCAGCTTGCTATTTGTGTCTGGAGGAGGTTGGGATGCAGTCTTGGGGACCAAGCCCTCGACCTGTGATCTGACACTGTCTCCAGGTATGTAGTGTCAAAATCGAGTTGGAGGATACTCAGCTGGTGTCCACTACTTATTGGTGGAGAAAAAATCCCACATTTTTGGTCACAGAAGTCGGGGTTGATTGTTGTGATGTGAGAGCAGAGGGAAAATGTGGTGTGTTTTTCCAAAATAGTTGTGTATCTGTATCACATGGGAAAAGCAAGATTTAAATAAGGCAGAAAAATCTCCACCCATAAAGGACCTTATTGATAAAGTTGACTATATTACCTTTAAAGATGTGTTTAAAAGGACATAATAAATAACAATGGCTATTGAAATCTTAACTATCCACTAGCACAGTTTTCTATGTTAAGTAAAAACCTATAAGGGAGTGACATGAGAATGATACACACACCAACTTTAAGATGGTAATTTCCTCTGGAGAGGAAAGGAAGAGAATGAAAGGGAGAATTTCAGCTGTATCTGTAGTGTTGATAGTAAAACCGAAGTGGATAAGAGTGCAACTTCTGCTGCATCCTAGGTTGTGCATCCCTGGACAAGTTTCCTACTCTTTCTTTGTCTCAATTTTCTCATTTGTTAATTGAGAATAGCAATAGTACCTACTTCAGGGTTGTGAGGATTAAAAGAGTTAATACATTTAAAGCACTTAGAAGAGTGCTTGGCAAATAGAAAAGGCTCAATAAATAACAGCTTTCTTTTTCTTTTTCGGGCAGAAAGAGATTGAGGAAATTAGCTCAAAACATTCACATATGTTAAATCTTTTTTACTGTATATGTTTCCAGTAGACCATGACTTAGAATATTTTTTAAAAAATTAAAAATCTTGATCATGGCTGGGCACAGTGGCTCACACCTGTAATCCCAGCACTTTGGGAGGCTGAGGCAGGAGGATTGCTTGATCTCAGGAGTTGGAGACCAGCAGGGGCAACATGGTAAAACCCCCATTTCTACCAAAAATCCAAAAATTAGCTGGATGTAGTGGCACATGCCGGTAGTCCCAGCTACTTGGGAGGCTGAGGTGGGAGGATGGCTTAAGCCTAGGAGGCAGAGGTTTCAGTGAGCTGAGATCATGCCATTGCACTCTAACCTGGGCAACAAAGCCAGATCCTGTCTCAAAAAAAAAATATATATATATATATAGATCATAATGAGCTTTTCACATCTTTATTGTGATGAGGAAGCCAAGGAAGCAAACATTAGATAGTGTGTCTCCAGAGGAGCATGGCTCATGTAATTTAAGTGTCAAATTCTCTTTTTAGATAAATTCTCATCTACCTCATCAAGCTTACCAACTTACTGGCCAACAGCCAGTGCTGCTTACATAAACAAAATGTGATATGTCCTAGAAGCAGGCGTGGTGTCTTTGTGGTAGAGTGTGGAATTAAACCAACAAAAACCTGACTCATTTATGCCAAAGTAGTGAAATATCTGACTCATCAACAACCACAGGGTGATCATCAGAACTGCTGTACAACAAAGAGTGTAGGTAAACAGTGGAATTGTCTGTATTCGTAAGCCATTGATGAACCATATAGTTAAAGCATCCAGATAAAACGCAAGTTCCTGAAGTCTCCCAGTCTTCCACTGTGAAAGTAAGAAGAGTGGGGAAATTAAAGTTTTTAAGGAATCCATCAGTTAGGAGTTGAGGTAAGGTTATATCCACAGAAAACAGAAACAGGTCAGGATTGCTGTTTGGTGGGGGAAGTGGAAGGAAAATGAATCATTAAGGACAGCTGTCTTAGCCAGCCCTGCTGGTCTTTTGGGTGGTTAGATGCAAAAAGATGTTTGTGGCCAGTTAACAGCAATATTGTTGATGTTTTTGTTAAGGCAGCTAAGAATGGAGCAACAGGCGTGGAGTTGGACATTGAGTTTACTTCTGACGGGATTCCTGTCTTAATGCACGATAACACAGTAGATAGGACGACCGATGGGACTGGTCGATTGTGTGATTTGACGTTTGAACAAATTAGGAAGCTGAATCCTGCAGCAAACCACAGACTCAGGTAAGTAGTTTATTGTCACTTAAACAGATCTTTTAGCTTTTATTGGAAATGACAGATAGACACTGGTGCCTTCTAATTACATCTGCCCCAGGAGAGTTGTCTTGTTTTGTTTTGAACTGTATATAGGTCTCCTAAGTAACGAGCAAGTGCCAGGAACAGCAGAAATTCGGCATTATGTTTTTAGTCTTTCCCACTGAGGCTAAATTTGGCTTCAGAATCATTCTCAAGATAATACTCTGTCTAGTCACTATAGAATCATGAGGCTGAAAGCCATTGCTTGGCAATCTTCTTGCCTTCAGGTGTACCAAGAAGCAAATTATACATTCATTAAAAGCTTCAAGTAATAGTATAATATTACATTTTAACTTAACCCTTTTAATTCTTCCGATCCTCATAACAAACTTCTGAGGAATCACAGAATTGTAGGAATAGAGAGTATCCTAGAAATCATCCAGAATAGCACTTTGCAGTAGAACTTTCTGCAATGATGGAAATGTTTTATATCTGCACTGTCTAATATAATAATGGTGGGTACCTGTGACTACTGATCACTTGATATGTGGCTAGTGACACGAGGAAGTGAATTTTTAATTTAAATGTAAATTTAAACTGAAATAGCCATATGTGGCTACCATATAGGATACTGTAGATCTAGATCAATCTTGCCTTTAGAGATAATCCCAGAAAAGTTAAATTATTTACTCAAGGGCAAATAACTAGTTCATAAAGAAGCCAAGACTAGAATCTATCCCAAGTTTTAGTCCAAATCATGCTGTTTTTAGCTGTCCCCCAGTGTCTTTCAACCCTGTAAGTGCGAAAGTTCTTTCAGTGTCTAATTTAATTCTTTCCTGGTAGAGTGTAAATGTAGCTTCCAAAGTATATATACCAGAGCTAATCTTACAAGATATTCCACAAAAACAGGTTCAAATAAGATCAAATAGTGTACTCTGAATACTTCTGGTGTGGATAAACAGTCCACATCAGCTGATTCTTACTTGTAACTTAGCTTTTCTCAAACTTACATGACCACAGAACCTACATCCTCTTCCCCACTTACAGCTGTAAACACCCTTGGAATTGGTATGCTGAGTAATATACTGTACTTTGGAATGCGGTTATTTAAATCCCTCTCTGCTTGTCATCTTTGCAATACTGAAAAGTGTGTGCTCACTGGTTATTCATGTAATATCAGTTATCCAGACAATGATCGATTCTCTTTGAATATTAAGTATTTGACCCAACAATTATAGGAAAAAGTTATACTTTTTCCTAAAAGATGATTCAGACCTATTTTCCTAGGATCTGAAAAACATCAGCCAGCCGAAGGAAATCATAATGTAGGCAGGAAAGAATATTGGTAACACTTGAGAATTATGAGTCCAGGTTGCTAGAATTGCTCTTGACTGTCATCAGATATTTTATTGCTCTGCTTATGCAAGGGAAAGACTGGTTTTAATATTATAATGACATTGTAGCTAATAAAATGTCGGGTTCAAAGTTAATACTTAAAGCAAAAATGTTTAGGGTCATCATTACCCTTAAAAATCCTTTAAGGGAGCACTGAGTCCATTTCTCTGGAATTTGTGCATCCTAGGAAAAAAGAAATTGTAATTTTCAAAAAATCCCTTAAGAAGACACCATAGCAAAGGCAACATATTACACCAATATCTTTAACACAACCAGTCTTTGCTCTGCTATTGGAACAGAGTGTGTTTTCTGTGATTGAACACTAAATGAAGTAATTGGCTTGTGTTTACGGATCATGTTGTGGGAAAAAAATAGATATTTTCTCTAGAATTATGCTCAGTGTGATGAGATGCTTGTCCTAAGAGGAGGGTAAGGAGGAAACTAAGATCAGCCAAAGGAACAACAAATTCAGGTCTCCCATCTTTCACTCTCAGGGAATAGAAATTGATGAGAATGGCTGGGGTAATTGCCTGTAATGTTTAAATTATCCTTATTTTTTTTTTTTTGGAGGTGGAGTTTCACTCTTGTTGTCCAGGCTGGAGTACAATGGCACGAACTTGGCTCACTGCAATCTCCACCTCCTGGGTTCAGGCGATTCTCCTGCCTCAGCCTCCGGAGTAGCTGGGATTACAGGCATGTGCCACCACACCCAGCTAATTTTTGCATTTTTAGTAGAGACAGGGTTTCACCATGTTGGCCAGGCTGGTCTTGAACTCCTGGCCTCAGGTGATCCGTCTGCCTCGGCTTCCCAAAGTGCTGAAATTACAGGCATGAGCCCACTATACCTGGCCTATCCTTACCCTTTTTTTAAAGCATGATCTTACAGTAGAGATAATGCAGTTGAGTTAGCATTAAGTTAGATCATAATTTTATTGTAAGAGCTAATTTCTTTTGTATCAAGCACTTAGCCTTCATTTTCTTTATCAGAAAATTATGTCTTAGAAACTATTATTTATTTTAAACAGTTGCACTTAAATAAATACACAATACAGTTAACAGATTTATGTATTCCTAGGAATTTCTCCTGCATAGGGTTGTATTAGGGAAATTACAATCTGAAAATTAAGTCTCTGAGTTTTCCAAAGGTGGCATATACTCTGCCCTTTCGGGAGTAGGGTTATTAATAATGTTATTAATTCAATGGAAATTCACTGATTTCTTAAAAATTAAATGATTTTTGTTGTTGTTGCTCGTCTTTGGTCAAGAATATCTGTATTTGAACACATGGAGGTTCCTGAATGATGGAGCACCCAGAAAGGGCATGGAAGCTCTGTGCCCCTTTCCCCATACCTCACCCTGCACATGTCTTCATCTGTATCCTGTGTAACATCCTCTATAATAAACCTGTAAACATGTTATTTGAGTTCCACAAGCCACTCTAACAAATTAATTGAACCCAAGGAGGAGGAGGTGGGAACCCCAATTTATAGCTAGTGTCAGAAGCACAGAATCACCAGAAAAGGAAAACAAAACAAAACAAAAAACAGAAAAATAACATCCATTATACAATGTAAGAAACCAAAGACCATCAGTCTCTAATGTCTATGCTCAGGTATCTGTGTGCTTCAATTCTTTTCATCTACGAGTCTTGGGTTTTCAATGCTCACTTGTCACCAGGATATGAATTAAAAATGTCTTGGGCACCACCATGTGATCCAGTTGTCTTAACCTTTCTAAAAGTGCTTGTGCAAGCCATTTACTTATTGCTTCTTATACCATTACAGCCCAGCCTACTTGTGGTTAAAAGCAACCATAGCATGTTTGAAAGTTTCATGCAATAAAAGGGAAGTTTATGATTGCATTTAGTCTGTACTTACTGGATACTTTCAGTTTTATCAGTCCCAAGTACAACAAACTCTGGATAATATGATTAAATACTTCTTCCATGATTCTTTCACCTTCATATCAATTTCGCTAAATATGGAATGATTGACTAGCCAGAGCAATCAGGAAAGAGAAAGAAATAAAAGGCATCCAAATTGGAAAAAGAGGAAGTCAGATTGTCCCTCTTTGCAGACAACATGATTTTGTATGTAGAAAAACCTAAAGACTTCACCAAAAAACTGTTAAAACTGATCAACAAATTTAGTAAAATTGCAGGATATAAAATCAATGTACAAAAATCAGTAGCATATCTATATGTAAATAATGAACTAGCTGTAAAAAAAATCAAGAAAGCAATCCCATTTACACAGCTACCAAAAAAACAGTAAAATACCTAGGAATAAATATAACCAAAGAGGTGAAAGAGCTCTACAAGGAAAACTACAAAACACTAATGAGAAAAATTAAAGAGGACACAAACAAATGGAAAGACATCCCACACTCATGGATCAGAAGAATTAATATTCCTAAAGTGACCATTCTACTCAAAATAATTTACAATTCAGTGCAATCCTTATCCAAATATCAAAGACATTCTTCAGAGAAATAGAAAAGCCACAATCCTAAAATTCATATGGAACCATAAAGAAGCCCAAATAGCTAAAGCAATACTGAGCAAAAAGGACAGAGCTGGACATATCATACTACCTCACTTCAAGATATATTACAAAGCCACAGTAACCAAAACAGCATGGTATTGGTATGAAAACTGACACACAGACACAGGCACACACACGAAATAGATACATAGACCAATGGAATACAATAGAGAACCAAGAAATAAATATATATTTACAGCCAACTGATTTTCCACGAAGGCACCAAGAACATACAGTGGGGAAAGGACACTCTCTTCAATAACTGGTACTGGGTAAACTGGATATCTATATGCAGGATATTGAAACTAGACCCCATCTCTCACTATATTTAGAAAATCAACACAAAATGGATTAAAAGTTTAAATTTAAGACCAGAAACTATAAAACTACTAGAAGAAAACATAGGGGAAATGCTCTGGAACATTGGTCTAGGCAAAGATTTTATGACTAAGACCTCAAAAGCATAGGCAACAAAAACAGGCAAATGTGACTATGTTAAACTAAAAAGCTTCTGTACAGCAAAGGAAACAATCAACAGTGAAAAGACAGCCTGTTGAATAGGAGAAAATATTTGCAAACTATTCAACAGACAAGTAACTAATATCCAGAATATACAAGGAACTCAACAGCAAAAACAATAATAATCCCATTAAAAACATCTATTCAAATCCTAATTTGAATAGATATTTTTCAAAAAAGGACACAGAAATGGCCAACAGGCATATGAAAAAACACCACAAATTATTAGGGAAATACAAATCCAAACCACAATGAAATACCATCTTATCTAGTTAGAACGTCCATTATTTAAAAGACTTTTAAAATAACAGATGCTGGCGAGGATACAGAGCAAAGGGAACTCTTATATTCTGTTGGTGAGAATGTAAATTAGTACAGCCATTATGGAGAACAGTATGGAGGTTTCTCAGAAAACTGAAAATATAGAACTACCATGCAATCTAGTAATCCCACTAGTTGGTATCTATCCAAAGGAAAGGAAACTAGTGTATCAAAGGCATACTTGCACCCCCATGTTTATTACAACACTATTCACAATAGCCAAGATACGGAATCAACCTAAGTGTTCATCAGTGAATGAATGGATAAAGAAACTGTGGTAAATATACTCAATGGAATACTATGTAGCCATAAAAAAGGATAATATCCTGTCATTTGCAGCAACATGGATGGAACTGAAGGTATTATGTTAAATGAAATAAGATAAGCCAGGCACAGAAAGGCAAATATTACATGTTGTCAATCATATATGGGAGCTAAAAAAGTTGATCTCATGGAGGTAGAGAGAAGAATGATGGTTACCAGAGGCTGGGAAGGGTATGGGGTTGGGCGAAGAGGAGAATGAAGAGAATTTGGTTAATGAGTACAAACATACAGTTAGATAGAAGGCATAAATTCTCATGTTCAATAACATAGTAGGGTGATTATAGTTAACAATCTGTTGTATATTTCAAAAGAGCTAGGAGATTCAGATGTTCCTAACACAAAGAAATGATAAATATTTAGGGTGATGGACATCCTAAATACCCTAATTTTATCATTATACATTGTGTGCATATCACAGAAATATGTCTAAGTGTATAGCAATAGAAATGTGGAAAAATAATATCTATACTTTGGATCAAATTATTACACTAGGACAGGCACGGTGGCTCACACCTGTAATCCTAGCACTTTGGGAGGCCAAGGCAGGTAGATCACTTGAGGTCAGGAGTTCAAGACCAGCCTGGCCAACATGGTGAAACCCCGTCTCTACTAAAAATACAAAAAATTAGCCAGGCGTGGTGTCACACTCCTGTAGTCCTAGCTACTCGGGAGGCTGGGGCGGGAGAATCGCTTGAACCCGGGAGTTGGTGGTTCCAGTGAGCTGAGATTACACCTCTGCACTCCAGCCTGGGCAACAGAGCAAGACTCCATCTCAAAACAAAACAAAACAGAACAAAAAAACTTACAGTAAATTATCCCTGGACTTTACTATGGTGGAAGAAAAAATGTTGGAGAAAATACTCTTTCCATTTGATTGGGAGACATTTGCAAAATGTTTGTTACAATAGAGGTTATCACTTCCTCTTTTTTCCTACAATGTATTTTCTCTTCTCTTACAGGAATGATTTCCCTGATGAAAAGATCCCTACCCTGAGGGAAGCCGTTGCAGAGTGCCTAAACCATAACCTCACAATCTTCTTTGATGTCAAAGGCCATGCAAACAAGGTACAGTTTAAACCATGGACTTCAGTTTGTTAAAAAGGAATCTTATTTCATTGATAGTCATTTCCGAAATTACATATGTTTTGTTATATATTCTTTTTAAAACTTAGTTTTATAAATTATATTTGTTGAATGGAAGTGTACAATGCAGGAATCTACATCATTTAAGGAAACAGTAAATTATGGAACTTTTTAACCTTTTATGGAACCTTTACAAAACTTCTAATATTCAATAACCAGCACAAAATGGAAGTTTCTATTATTTACATAAAGCAATTACAAAAGATATTAAGTAAACAGTGAAAAGCACTTCTAGAAAAAACCACTCAAGTAACCTCATAAAAAGGAATTCCGGAGTTGTATACAAGACCAATTTTATCTAGCTTAAAAGTTAAGGGCCTTATATGGACAACTATGGACTGCATTTAAAGAGAATTCCTATATTAAAAGCTAATAGTTAACAGAACATATACGTTTTACATAGATTTATCCCTTTGTATAATTTATATGCCTTATGTATAGTTTTGTTATTCATTGATTTTAGCAGCTATACTTTTATCAGAAAATCATTTATTTTCTTCAAATGTGTTTGACATTCCTAGATAAAATTTGGCTTAAATTTTAGAGCCTGCACTTTTACTCATAAGAACATATTATTACAATGAAAATCAGTGGGAAGATATGATTCTGATTACATTTGTTCTCTTACAACCAGCTTTTCAAGTGCAAGTACTTTTTTCCCCATTTGGGCAACTTGAGTATTTTTCCCCTAGCAATATTAATAATCGGTAATGGCCATCTACTGGTTGAAAATTCTGATGATGCCATTTTTTTTTAAATTAATCCCATATCATTAAAACCAGTTGTTAAAACCCAAAATGGGCCGGGTGCGGTGGCTCATGCCTGTAATCCCAGCACTTCGGGAGGCCGAGGCGGGTGGATCACCTGAGGTCAGGAGTTCGAGACCAGCCTGGCCAATATGGTGAAACCCCGTCTCCACTAAAAATACAAAAATTAGTTGGATGTGGTGGTGGACACCTGTGATCCCAGCTACTCTGGAGGCTGAAGCAGGAGAATCGCTTGAACCAGAGAGGCAGAGGTTGCAGCGAGCCAAGATTGTGCCAGTAGTCCTCCAGCCTGGGTGACAGAGCAAGACTATGTCTCAAAAAAAAAAAAAAAAACCTGAAATGTGGAGCCTAAGTATACACTCTAATTTTATTACAGTTAACTCCTATTTTTGAAGAAAGAAGAGAATGATAACTAATTTATTATTCTGGTAAACTGATAGTTGTATACCACTAGGTTTCTAATCGGTCTGCATTAGAATCACCTGGAATACCTATTTTAAAATACAAATTTCCTGGGCCATTCTCCCTAGGGAAGAGATTCTGAAAATGTCTAGGGTAGGCTCAAGGAGCGTGTATTTTTAATGAGCACTTCAGGTACTCATTGTTGATGTTGCAGCCTGCATTTGGGAACGCTGATAGGTCCTACATTTCACCCACGGTATACTGACTTTCATGCTTATTCTCTTAGGTTTTTTTTGTTGTTGTTTTCTGGGACAGAATCTCACTCTGTTGCCCAGGCTGGAGTGCACTGGTGCAATCTTGGCTCACTGCAACCTCTGCCTCCGGGGTTCAAGCAATTCTCCTGCCTCAACCTCCCAAGCAGCTGGGATTAGAGGCGTGTGCCATCACACCCGGCTAATTTTTGTATATTTAGTAGAGATGGGGTTTTGCCATGTTGGCCAGGCTGGTCTCAAATTCCTGGCCTCAAGTGATCCGCCTGCCTTGGTCTCCCAAAGTGCTTGGATTACAGGTGTGAGCCACCATGCCTGGCTTCTCTTAGAATACTTTTTAAAAAGAAGTAGACTTTTTTTTAAAAATCTAGCTATTTGCGTTTTCTCGATGGGTGCTCATGGGTGTTCAGCCAAGACTGGGTAGAACATAGTGACCTAATTCACCAAGATGGTAGTAGAGAGGGACAAGTGTAGGCAACAAAGTGGAGCTAGTAGAGCATGGTGGCCAAAATCCTGGGCTTGGGAGTCCAACAGACCTTGACTGAGCTCTTACTACAGGGTAACCTTAATTTTGATGAGCTTCAGTTTCTTCATGGGTAAAATGGGAATACTAAAAGCAGTTACCACATAGAGTTGTTGTGAGAATTAAATAATGTAAATGTGAAGAGTTTACAGCGCATGTCTTTGTTCAAACAGCAAAAACAAAACAAAACAGCGTTCTATAGCTCACCTTCAGTTGCATTAGTGAAGAGGAGGCATGACTTGGAAAATTTGTGTTCTTTTTTATTTTGGTGGGGGAATGCATTTTGCTCATCATATTTGGTTAGGGGTATGTTTGACATTCCAAAAATTAGCAGTGTTTCACAAATTATGCAGCAGCAGCATTGCATGCCACATGGCTGGTGACTTTCTTGTTGTTAGCTGCTATTGATGTCACTTCACTAGGGGTTACCAAATAATACTTAAATTCTATCATGTCTTCTTCATTTTGTAGCTAGAGTACTATAAAAAGAAACTTCTATTCACCTTGGGAAGAATTGGGAGCCTCTTAACTCTTCCCAGTCCCTCCTACCCCTGCCCCATTGCTTCTGCCTCCATATTGGTGATGAGTGATGCATCCTCTCAGTCCCCTGGACTGAGAAATCTACCCTCTGTAGTTCCCAGACTGGCTGGCTCATGTTTCATTTGGAAAAGGCACAGGGAGAGCTTTGGGTATGAAAGGACTTCTCATAGTGGATAAACTAGGGTATAAGGCAAGGAAAATTTTGCCTCTGGCCTCATCTGGCCTACAGCTTACCACACTTTTCAAAAGTATGACAAAAGGGATGAGGCCCTCAGAGGGAGTAAAGCAGCAATACCCCACCTTCTTCCTTGTTTGCTGCTGGTGTGAGTTTAAAATGCATCCCAGTGGACAGTAGACTCTGCCAATACTTTTAGCACCTCCATTTCTAGTAAACTTCTGTTTTATTCCATAGGGTTATACTTAATATATGATAGTTATTGGCTGGGGCTGTCACATTTTAATCAATTTTAAATATATGAATCTCTCTATTTTACAGGCTACTGAGGCTCTAAAGAAAATGTATATGGAATTTCCTCAACTGTACAATAATAGTGTGGTCTGTTCTTTCTTGCCAGAAGTTATCTATAAGGTAATATTCAGGATTTTTCTTATCATATTAGGTGAGCTAGTGTAGATAATTGCACTGGGCTGCATAAGCACAGGATAGATGCCTATTAAATTGAATGGCATCAAGGTCACAGTTGAGAAGCTCCTCTTTTAAATTAATAAGAGAAATTCCAAAAGGGGAATGTACTCATACCCTTTATAGAATGCCATTCCTCTTTTGCCCCTTCTTTTATGTTATTTATAGGCTCACTCAGATTACTGTGGTAAAATTCTCAGAACAGAAAAGAATTATGTAGCCCCCACTTCTCACCAACTAACAGCAGAACATACCTTCATAAAATAAATTCTTAATTATGGAGAATCTAAAACATGCATAAAATAGAGTAGTACAGTGCACCCCCCCTCCACCATAACTGTTATCCAGCTCATTTTACCCATAACCCCATTGATCTTCCCCAGTGTTATTTTGAAGCAAATGTTATTCTATCCATAAAATTGCATTAAGAATCTTTAAAAAGTGATGCCATTTTATTTTATTTTGTTTATTTTTAAAGACAGGTTCTCCCTCAGTTTCCCAGGCTGGAGTGCAGTGGTGTGATCATGGCTTACTGCACTCTTGACCTCCCAGGCTCAAGTGATCCTCCTGCCTTAGCCTTCCAAGTAGCTGGAAACACAGGCGCATGTTACCATGCCCAGCTAATTTTTTATTTTTATTTTTATTTTTTGTAGAGACAGGGTCTCTCTGTATTACCCAGGCAGTTCTCCAACTCCTAAGCTCAAGCAATCCTTCCACCTCAGCCTCCCAAAGTACTGGGATTACAGGCATTACCCACCGTAACCAACCTAGTGATGCCTTTTTAAAAACATAGCCACAATGCCATTGTCCCATCTAAAAATTATTAGCAATAAATTCTTCATATCATCAAATATCCAGTCAGTATATAAATTTTGACTTGTCCCAGAAATGTCATAAATGGTTTTTTGGTTTTCATATATTGCTCATTTGAATAGGAACCAAATAAGATCTGCATGTTACAATCGTAAATCTTCTTTTGTTTGTCCCGCTCTGTCGCCCAGTGGTATGATCTCAGCTCATCACAACCTCTGCCTCCTGGGTTCAAGCAATTCTCTTGCCTCAGCCTCCCGAGTAGCTGGGATTACAAGCACACACCACCATGCCTGGCTAATTTTTTTGTATTTTAGTAGACACGGGGTTTCACCATGTTGGCCTGGCTGATCTCCAGCTCCTGACCTCAGGTGATCTGCCCGCCTCAGCCTCCCAAAGTGATTATAGGTGTGAGCCACCGTGCCCTGCCAGCAACTGTAAATCTTAAAACTTGCAGGTTCTGTCTCTCTCTTTGTTTTTTTTGGGGGAGTGAGGGGGGCAGTCCTTGTTTTGTATTTACTAAAGAAAACAGATTATTGTTTTGTAGAGTTTACCCAAGTCCAGATTTTGCTGATTATGCCATGATATGGTTTAATACTTTTCTCTCTTTATTTTCTATAAACTGGTAGTGAGAGCTGGAAGCTTGCCTTGATGAGGTTAGGATTGGTTATTCTTGGCAAGATAACTCTAGAGATGAGGGTGTTTTTCTGTCAGGAGGCACTTGACATCTGGTTGACTCCTGTTGTGGTTAGCTGCTATTGATGCTCATTGGCCAGATCTGTCCATTTTCTAGGGAGCTACAAAATGTTGATATTTTAATTCTATTACATCTTGCATTAGCTGAAACAGATCTATAAAAAGAAACTTTTCCTCTTTTACTATTTAGTTACCGAAGAGGCAGAATAAATGCTTAATCTTGCCTATTATTTACCAGTTTCCAAAATAATGAGTTGGTTCCGTAGCATTCTTTACCAGTGACCAACAGAGCATACGTTGAAAATTTTTAGTGAGGATAGAGCCTATCAATAGAAGCTATCATGGAGATGAATAGGGTCATGGGGCTTGCAGACATTTGGAACAGTGTTTCCCAAACTTCCTTGACCACAGAGTCCTTTAAAACGTGTAAGACATTCCCCAAGAGGAGCACAAGAGCAGAGACTGAAGGAACTCCATCCACATCTCTCCATTTCTCTGTTGCCCTCTCCCATTATCTCATCACAATCCCTTCTCTCCCTTACCACCTCACTTCCCCATTCCCCTCCTCACCCCTACAACTCTTTTCAGCCATTTGCTCTGGAAAGGGCCCAAACTAACTAGCCCATCTTGAACTGACCTTGGTTCCATCCTCACTGAGTTCTAATTAATTATCTCTGGCCAAGATTTAAGTCGATATCCAATTAAAAGTTTATTCTCGTGACTTTGTTAAAATTTGATCCTGAGGTTGTAATTTTTCCATTTTAAAGATAGGATTGCAGTTTTTAAGGATTGTGGAAAAAAAAGTTCTCGTATGTACTGCATATTAATGCTTTACATCCATCACATTATTTTCTCAAAGGGTTTATGATTGAGAACTTACTTCGTAGATACCGGGGCAGGGTACCAACCATGACCACCTCATCTGATTGAGCACATTGGCTAAATCTAAACTAATAAGTATTCAACTTTATATATGATCATTATTTTACTTCCCCAAATTCCTTTTCAGATGAGACAAACAGATCGGAATGTAATAACAGCATTAACTCACAGACCTTGGAGCCTTAGCCATACAGGAGATGGGAAACCACGCTATGATACTTTCTGGAAACATTTCATATTTGTGATGATGGACATTTTGCTCGATTGGAGCATGCATAATATCTTGTGGTACCTGTGTGGAATTTCAGCTTTCCTCATGCAAAAGGATTTTGTATCCCCGTAAGTTGTAAGGTTTTTTATTTTACCCAGACACATGTCCTGAATGCTCTTATTTGAAAGGAAGGATTAACAGAGTAGACACCCTGAATTGGTTCTGACCTGCAAAGCTTACCATGCCTCTAAATTGGATTGCCAGTTTCACTTCTTAGGTGGGAAGAATTCAGGCATATTTCACTGTTTTCAGACCAAGTTGATGACATATTTTTGGGTTTTTAGTGTATTTTGAAGAAAAAAAGTGAACCTGTGAAACTCTGCTGAGGAAGGGATTTTATTTCTATGACTGGTTTTTTTTGAAAGCCAACACAGGATCCTGGGCAGAACCACAGTGAGGACATCCTGTGGGCATCAACCTCCTGCCTACCATCTTACGTTATAGGCACTCCTCCATCTCTCCCCATAAAATTTCCATTTCCTAACCTGCTAGCGATCTCAGAATAATTTCTTTGGCAGTTCTAGATCTGTATATTTCAGCCGATTAGAGTTTAAATCTAGTATTATTTCAGACGTGCATGATTCAGTTCAATAAATACTTGGTAAGTGCCTACACTATTGCAAGGTTCCATATTGAGAAGCTGAAGATGCAGTGAAGAATCAAAGCCATGATCTCTGTCTTTGTGATGTTTACAGCCAAGTGGGAGAGAGAGAGATGCTAATCAAATAAAAATCCAATCAATACAAAGTTAAAACTAAGATACAGGCTATGTCAGAGAGAACAGTGTGCACAGACTGTAATCTGATCTGGTCATCCAGATCCCCAAGGAAGTGACAGTTAAGCTAAGATCTGAAGGATGAGTGGGAATTGGGAGGAATCCAGATGAGAGAGAAAAATGTATGTAATGTGCTCTGACAGGGAGGAGCATAGTTCTTTCTAGGAATTGAAAGAAAATTCATATTCTTTCAATTAATTTAAAATGAATCAGCACAGAAAAGAAAGGGGGAGTGTGATGTGAGATGAAGCCAAGGAGACAGGTCGGGGCCAGGTCAGGCACCCCTTCAGTGGCTGTGCCAAGGACAGTTCAGTAGTGAGCTACTGAAATGTTGTAAGCTGGAACAGTGCAGAAAGGTTCATGGCATCCTGGGTTTTGGACCAGTCCCTCTGGTCACAGTGCAGAGGCCAGGTAGGGGGCATCCTCTGGGTACTACTGGTATGCAGTGAACACCATACTTAGTGGCCATTATAGATTCCTGAGACAGCTGCTTATTATTCTAACAGGATTGGTTTTCCTCTTTCCCCAGGGCCTACTTGAAGAAGTGGTCAGCTAAAGGAATCCAGGTTGTTGGTTGGACTGTTAATACCTTTGATGAAAAGAGTTACTACGAATCCCATCTTGGTTCCAGCTATATCACTGACAGCATGGTGGAAGACTGCGAACCTCACTTCTAGACTTTTACCCTGGGATGAAACGGGTTCAGAAACTGCCAGGGGCCTCATACAAGGATATCAAAATACCCTTTGTGCTAGCCCAGGCCCTGGGGAATCAGGTGACTCACACAGATGCAATAGTTGGTCATTGCATTTTTACCTGAACCAAAGCAAAACCCAGTGTTGCCTCCATGCACCATAGAATGCCAGAGTTCAACACTGTTGCTCTTGAAAATCTAGGTCTGAAAAAATGCACAATAGCCCCTGCCCTGCCCTAGCTGAGGCACACAGGGAGACCCAGTGAGGATAAGCACAGATTGAATTGTACAATTTGCAGATGCAGATGTAAATGCATGGGACATGCATGATAACTCAGAGTTGACATTTTAAAACTTGCCACAGTTATTTCAAATATTTGTATTTAGCTATGTTAACATGTACTGTAGACATCAAACTTGTGGCCATACTAATAAAATCATTAAAAGGAGCACTAAAGGAAAACTGTGCCAAGCATCATATCCTGAGGCATACGGAATTTGGGGAAGCCACTGTGCAATCCAGTGAGGCTTCGATGTGCAAGAACCAAAATGGTAGGGAGGTCTTGAAGCCAATGAGGGATTTACAGCATCTTGAATGGAGAGCTGCAAACCACCAGGGGGAAGAGTTGCACTTTTCCAGGCTTTTTAGGAAGCTCTGCAACAGTTGTGATTATAGATAGGCAATTAGAACTGGAAGAAACTTCCAAGAACATCTAGGTTTGTCCTCATTTTGCAAATGAGGAAACTAAACTCTGTGGAAGGGAAGGGGTTGCCTCAAAAGTCACAGTTTAGCTGGGCACAGTGGCTCATGCTGATAATCCCAGCAACTCAGAAAGCTGAGGCAAGAGGATTACTTGAGGCCAGACTGTGCAATGTAGCAAGACCCCATCTCTAAAAAAATTAGCCAGACATGGTGGTGCATGCCTCTAGTCCCAGCTACTCAGGAGGTTGAGGTGGGAGGATCACTTGAGCCCAGAAGTTCCAGGCTGCAATGAGCCCAATGAGCCATGATTACACCACGGCACTACAACCTTGGTGACACAGTGAGAACCTGACTCTTAAAAAAAAAAAAAAAAAAAAAAATAGAACTTCTAGAACTTCTTGTTTACAGTTAACCAGAAACTATACAAGTGGTTTAACATGCATTATCTTACTCAATCCATACAAAAGTCTTAGGGAGGTGTTAGCACTGTTTCTACTGATGAAGAACTGAGGTACTTCATAAAACCACTTACCCAAGGTGTCTTGAGTCTGTTACAGTTGGCATTCAAATCCAGGTCAGTCTGCCGCCAGAGCCACTACCCTTACTCCTCACTGAATCTGCCTTTATATTGTTGAGCCCATGATCCCAATTCTGCTCTTTCCAATTTGAACTTCCAGGGATTTTACTGTGAACTTGGTAGCAACATTAAAATGAAGTTGAATTTTTTGTTAATGGCAACGCCGTGTGTCTCCTCTAGCTTACCCCCTCTCACCTTTCAACCCCATCTGTGGCCTTTGTCCAGGCCCACAGCTTAGCCATGGCTTCCCTCCTGCATCCCTGCCATGGGTTGCCGGCCTCACACTTACAGCAGCCGAACAGTGATTTTAGAAGGCCACCAGTCCCCACAGCTACATGACGATGAGAAGCAAACTTTTTTGTGACAGATTGTATTGGCATAGGCATGATAGATGGGGCTTGGTACGTTTTGAATCAGCATTTGCAAAAAAAATTGTCTTGAATTTTAAAATGAACAACAAAGATAGGTTCATTGAGTGGAACAAATGTCTAAACTGCATGTACTTCCATGCCATGTTATGCCTAGAGTGAAAGAGGGAGGAAAAAGTGACCAAAGAAGATACATCAAGCCGGGCGTGGTGGCTCATACCTGTAATCCTAACACTTTGGGAGGCTAAGGTGGGTGGATCACTTAAAGGCCAGGAGTTCAAGACCAGCCTGGCCATCATGTCTCTACCGTCTCTACTAAAAATACAAACTTTACCTGGGCATGCTGGCACATGCCTGTAATCCCAGCTACTCAGGAGGCTGAAGCAAGGAGAACTGCTTGAACCCAGGAGTCAGAGGTTGCAGTGAGCCAAGATTGCACCACTACACTCCAGCCTAGGCCAAAGAGTGAGACTCTGTCTCAAAAAAAAAAAGAAAATACCCTCTGCGAACTGAATTCAGCCCTGGGGTACCTTCTGAGGGTACACAGCAACTGGCAGGGAAAGATTTCTCTTGGGGGCAGTATGAAGTTAATAATATCCCTTGGCCAGGCATGGTGACTCATGCCTATAATCCTGTCACTTTGGGAAGCCAAGGTGGGAGGACTGCTTGAAGCCAGGAGTTCAACACTAGCCTGGGCAACACAGTGAGACCCCATCTCTACAAAAAATTTAAAAATTGGGGCCAAGATGGGAGGATCACTGGAGCCCAGCAGGTTGAGGCTGCAGTGAGCTAGGATCGCACCACTGCACTCTGGCCTTGGCGACAGAGTTTGACTCCAATCTCTAAAACTTTCATAATAATAAAAATATCCCTTTGTGTTGTGGGAAGATCTCAAGAGCCAGGAGATTTCTGTCTCTTGATCTTCATCCCAAATCCATTTTGCCTTTGATTCAGCCAGGCCAAATTAAGGATTTAGGTCCTATGCTAAGACGGTAAGGGCCTCAAAAGGTAGAGAATTTGAATGATGAAATAAGGTGTTAATAACTACTATTAAGCACTTCCTTGGCAGACTTAGTATAGGGTTAATAACAGGATTTGGAATCAGTGAAAGCCAAGTCTGCATTCCTAATCAGCAACTTACCAGCTGTATGACCTTGGGTAAGTTACTTAATTTATTTGTAAAATAGGGGTAGTATTCTTGTGGTGGTGGTGATTAAATGAAAGAATGCATGTAAAATCCTTGCTAATTAACATTTACTGACTGCCTATCATGTCCTAGACATTTAAAATGCTTTCCAGGTACAGTACTTTTTTTATTCAGGCTGAAGTGCAGTGGTGCAATCTTGGCTCACTGCAACCTCTGCCTCCCGGGTTCAAGCAATTCTCATGCCTCAGCCTCCCGAGTAGCTGGAATTACAGGTACATGCCACCACGCCTGGCTAATTTTTGCATTTTTAGTAGAGATGGGTTCTTAGCATGTTGGCCAGGCTGGTCTCGAACTCCTGACCTCAGGTGATCCACCCACCTTGGCCTCCCAAAGTGTGGGGATTACAGGCATGAGCCTGTAATCTAATGCATGTACACCTCCAGGAGAAGCAGGACTGCACTGAAGTGGAGACACGGGATGGATGTGAAAGGAGAAGCATTCCAGATGGAAGCACTTAGCATCTGGTGAATGAGCAAAAGTGATGCTTTCAGAGAGAGTTCAGATTTCACTGTAGAAGCCCAGGCAGTGGCCGGGCGCGGTGGCTCATGCCTGTAATCCCAACACTTTGGGAGGCCAAAGCGAGCAGATCACCTCAGGTCAGGAGTTCGACACCAGCCCGGCCAACATGGCGAAACCCCATCTCTACTAAAAATACAAAAATTAGCCGGGCCTGGTAGCACACGCCTGTAATCCCAGCTACTCAGGAGGCTGAGGCAGGAGAATAGCTTGAACCCAGGAAGGGGAGGTTGCAGTGAGCCAAGATTGCGCCACTGCACTCCAGCCTGAGAGACAGAGGGAGACTCCAACTCCATCTCAAAAAAAAAAAAAAAAGCAAAGAAAAAAGCACAAACAGCACGAAGATGACCCCAAAGGGAATAAAATCACTTCCAACATCACTTCCATGGGCTGCCTGCACTGACCCCACAGACAAGTCTCCCTTAGTCCCTGTGCTGCTTCAGAGCATCTACTGCAACTGTAATTAATTATTGCTTAAGTATTTAATTCATGTCTAAACCTGCTAGACAGGCAGCACCAGGAATTGTTCACCATCTTGTTCACCACTAACATTTGGTCGATATTTGTTGAATGGATGGATGGATGAACACTACATACAACTATTACCAAAGATGACACCAAAAGAAATTAATTCCTTCGATGAAGTGAATTAATGAAAAAAATAAGTGAATGAAAAAGTGTGTGGTCAAGTGCAGTGGCGTGTGCCTGTAGTCCCAGCTACTTGGCAGGCTGAAGTGGGAAGACTGCTTGACCTAGGAGTTTGAGTCAAACCTGGCAACACAGCCCGGACTCATCTCTTAAAAATAAAAAAAAGGGAATAAATGACAGCACTGGTTGGGTGCTTGTGTTTCGAATGTATCTTAAATGCTTTCTAAATTCAGTTCCAATTAGGTTTTATGACAGTGATTACTTAAGAGGAGGCTCCTCTCCCCTGAGTAATTGCACCTTTCTGCTGGACCCTTCAGTGTTAAGAACAGCCACTGTTCTCACTCATAGGTGGGAATTGAACAATGAGATCACTTGGACACAGGAAGGGGAACATCACACAGGAAGGGTCCTATTGTGGGGAGGAAGTCGGGGAGGGATAGCATTAGGAGATATACCTAATGTAAATGATGAGTTAATGGGTGCAGCACACCAACATGGCACATGTATACATATGTAACAAACCTGCACGTTGTGCATATGTACCCTAGAACTTAAAATAAAAAAATAAAAGCCACATGGCTTGTGAATCATTTGGCAAATCTGCAAAAAAATTATACACACACGTATTCATTACATATGCGCACACACACACATTCCACACATCACCACCAGTTTCATATTTGGTTTGAATAAAACTTTTAATTTATTTTATTTTATTTTTTGAGACAGAGTCTCACTCTGTTGCCCAGGCTGGAGTACAGTGGTACAATCTTGCCTCACTGCAAACTCTGCCTCCCGGATTCAAGCAATTCTGCCTCAGCCTGCCAAGTAGCTGGGATTATAAGCATGCACCACCACGCCCAACTAGTTTTTGTATTTTTAGTAGAGACGGGGTTTCACCATGTTGGCCAGGCTGGTCTTGAACTCCTGACATTAATGCTGCACCCATTAACTCGTCATTTACATTAGGTATATCTCCTAATGCTATCCCTACCCCCCTTCCTCCCCACAATAGGACCCCGTGTGTGATGTTCCCCTTCCTGTGTCCAAGTGATCTCATTGTTCAATTCCCACCTATGAGTGAGAACCTATAAGTGATCCGCTTGCCTCAGCCTCCCAAAGTGCTGGGATTACAGGCATAAGCCATTGCACCCAGCTAATTTCTTCTCTTTTCTTTTTTTTCTTACCCAGTCTCCGTAGAGACTGTCAAAAATTGCCAGTGCTGATTATATTTCAAGTCATCACAGTGGGGTATTGGGAAAAGTTTCAATTAGCAATAATCACGTCTCAGATAAATCTCACTGGCTACGGTACTGCCACTGTGCAAAGCTAGTTTGATGTAGGACTTTGATGGTCATGTATAACACCTCATGGGGCAGAACCTCCTCCATCCCTGACTCCAAAGACTCATGTAATCAATACGCAAGAAAGTTCAGAGATGAGACCTCTGGTTGTATTCCACCTTTGGGACATGGGGGATGTTTTTAGTTCTAAGTCACAAATAAATGCAGGTTCTACAATTCAGAGGCTTCATATCCCTGCTTGAGGATTACATGTTTATTCAGGATGGACCACTTTTCTTAGCAACAGTTTCTAAACCTTTGCCAGGTCTGGGAAGTCTGGCAGGAGAGATTTCTAAGAACCAATCAATCATGCACACATTTCTTGAAGATAAAATACATTATTCCCTAGTTGTCTCTTCCTAGGTTTTTGTGGGCTCATTTCAATATTACAACAATCTTTATTGGAAAACCCCAAGTATTTTGTCTTGAAAAATCAGCAATCCAGGTGTAAAAAATAGCAAGGAATGCCCAATTTTACTTTGATATTTACATTGTAGTCAGTTTCTACTCCTGGCTAAAGGCTTGGATTTTCTTCTGGGCAGTTCCTAAAGACACAGGTGGCATGAAAGAAATTGTTCCATTTTCATCTCCTCTCTTTATTTGATTGGTGTCTGGTTACCAAAACAGTCATCAGGCCCTTGGATTACCTTCTTGAACTGATCTTCTAAATCGCAAGTCTAGGTTGGACACAGGAAAGAGAAGTTAACACAGGCACACTCTGCCCCATCTCTACAAGGGAAAGACCAACTTGGCCTTCAAGAGCCCATAGCTTCTCTTGCCTTCCTTGCCTCCTCCTTTTAGTTTCTATAATCTTCCCCCTTGAACTCCCATCACTGGAAGTCATCAGTAAATGCTATCCCCAAAAAATAAATGGGTTTGTTTGTTTCCTGCCCAGAATTCACTCTCCTGGCATCGGCCCCAGATCTTCCTTGGAAAGTCACCCTTCCCTACTCTCGGTCCCTATGGTCTTCATGGTTGTACCACCTGTATCGACAGATGAAATCATGTGACCAAGGGAACTGCCACATTTTTGTAGCCACAACAATTGGTTCATAGACAGGGACATCACCCAGTCACATCCTATGAAACACCATGAGAATCCTGGGTCCCTCAGTCTTTCCCACCAGACTGACTCTGAGAAGATATAAGAAGTTGATAAAGCTGTCTTGCACTTATTAAGAAGAGTCTATTGCAAAAGGAACTAACATGGGTAAGAACGGAACTGAAAAAAACCGGGCTCTGGTGACATTGTGAGTTCCTGCATTAGGCTAGACCTAAAGCAAGAATTATTCTTGGAATTTTGCTTAAGCCAGTTTGGATCCAGTTTGCAACTGAAAAAGTAACGGACACACGAGCAATTCTACACTTATCTTAGGATATTTCACCAGAAATATATTAGTGTCTTATTCTGTCCCAGTTCAATTACTCACCAAGACTGCTATCACGTTCCCCCAAATGCAAAGCGTCTTGTTGCTGAAAAAGTAAAAAACAGGCAGCCATGTCACGGAGGAAGAATGCAGATTCTGGGTCTTGTTGCATAGTTGGCACAATTTGTGAGCCGTCCACCGTTTTAAAATTAAGGGATGACAGATTAAGGCCAAGTCTCTGCCATAGAAATATTGAACATGTTTTGTTTTTTAGGGAGAGTGATTCCATTCATTCATTCCACAGATAATCTTTTTTTTTTTTTTTTTTTTTT